TCCCTCAGGCCACTGCAAGTTAAAAATTTTGGTGAAATATATTTTATTTTTGACATTTATTTATTCATTCATCCTACAACTATTTATTGATTACCTACTATGTCAGGCACTTTTCTGAGAGCTGGTGGACGTATGATACATGTGATATAAACAGAGTACATGTGATATGAAAATTGTTTTAGTATTGACCTCAGGGTAAAATTGAAACTCTCAGAATATGTGTCAGGTTGAATCCTGTCACTCTTGTGTACCTTGTAAACATAGTTACACAACTTCAGGGAAGCACACGCACCTCAATTTCAAGAATCCTGAAATAACTAGAGAGTCATTCTTGCTATGAAAGGAATTTCAGATCTAGGAAGTTCATTTTAGCCTTTCTGGCCTCAACTTCCCTGTCAAAAATAAGAGGGTTGAACTGGATGAATTCAAAGCCCTTGCCAGCTCTACAAATATGTAAATTTATATGCTACAGAGTTGAAGAGACCTTAAAAACATCTTGCCAATTCCCCATCAAGTACTTAAACTAGTCATTGGTAGAAGCTTCAGGGAAGAGTGATCAAGTTTTTAGGCCACTTCAGAATGGAAATAAAAAACACAGATCCAGAAGCTCCACTTCAGAGTGTTTATTCAGAGACACACAGACATGCAGAAGCTTTACCAGGATGTCACCTCCCCCTTATCTCTGCAAGGATGATGAAATATACACACCTGTCAGAATTCTTCTCTCAGAATTCCATGAGTCAGCTGGAAGCCAAGTTGAAAATAGTTGCACAATTAACCTTATTGGTAGGTAACTTTGCATTCTTATCTCCCCAGAACCTCATTTTTCTGGTGATGTGAAAGTGAAAATTCTCTGGAGCCTAGGGAGAGGTTCTGCAAAGAGCAGAACGCACAATCTAAATCAGTATATTTTTTTCTGGAGGAGAAGAGATACAACCTTTTCATGAGCTGCCAGATTTATTTATTTTATTTTTTTAAAGACTATTTTTTTTTAAGATTTTATTTATTTATTTTTAGAGAGAGGGGAATGGAAGGAGAAAGAGAGGGAGAGAAACATCAATGGGTGGTTGCTTCTCATGTGCCCCCTACTGGGGACCTGGCCTACAACCCAGGCATGTGCCCTACCTGGGAATCAAACTTGCAACCCTTTGGGTTGCAGGCTGACACTCAGTCCACTGAGCCACACCAGCCAGGGTGTGAACTGCCAAATTTAGAAGGGGAAACACTCCTCCAAGATTCACTTCCGAACTTTTTCAGATGCTTACTATGGAAAAGACTCAGCAAGGGTCATCTTTTTTTCAAAATCTGGAATTTTCTTCTCAGTGTCCATTGCAATTTTGGCTTGTATCTGTGGGACTTTCATTGCCAACAGAGACAGTTCCAGATCGACCTCATTTATTTTTATTTTTTAAATTATATTTTATTGGTTATGCCATTACAGTTGTCCTGATTTGTCTCCCTATGCCTCCCTCCACCCAGCACTCCCTCCTCCCTGAGGCAATCCTCCCACCATTGTTCATGTCCATGGGTCATACATGTAATTTCTTTGGCTTGTCCATTTCCTATACTGTACATCCCCATGACTATTCTCTGACTATCTATTTGTACTTCTTAATCCCCTCACTTCTTCACCCATTCTCCCATACCCCTCTGCCATCTGGCAATCATCAAAATGCTCTTGGCATCTGAGAATCTGTCTCTGTTCTTCCTGTTTACTTAGTTTGTTTTTTAAATTCAATTTTTGATAGATATGTATGTATTGCTATTTTATTGTTCATAGTTTTGACCTTCTTTTTCTTAAATCAGTCCCTTTAACATTTCATACAATAATAGTTTGGTGATGATAAACTCCTTTAGTTTTTTCTTGTCTGGGAAGATCTTTATCTGCCCTTCGATTCTAAATGATAGCTTTGCTGGGTTGAGCAATCTTGGCTGTGGGTCCCTGCTTTTCATGACTTTGAATATTTCTTGCCAGTCCCTTCTAGCCTGCAAAGTTTCTTTTGAGACATCAGCTGGCAGTCTTATGGGTACGCCCCTGTAGGTAACTAAGTGCTTTTCTTGTGCTGCTTTTAAGATTGTCTCTTTATCTTTAACCTTTGGCATTTTAATTATGATGTGTCTTGGAGTGGGCCTTCTTGAGTTCATCTTGTTTGGGACTCGCTGTGCTTCCTGGTCTTGCATATCTATTTCCTTCACCAAATTAGAGAAATTTTCTTTTGTTATTCTTTAAAATAGATTTCCAGTTTCTTGCTCTTTCTCTTCTCCTTCTGGAGCCCCTATGATGTGAATGTTGGAATACTTGAAATTGTCCCAGAGGCTGCTTATGCTATCCTCATTTGTTTGGATTCTTTTTTCTTCTTGTTGCTCTAGTTGGTTGTTTTTTGTTTCTTTATCTCCCAAGTCATTGATTTGATTATCGCCTTCATCCACTCTACTTTTGTTTCCCTGTAAATTATTCTTTATTTCAGTTAGTGTATGCTTTGTTTCTGACTAGATCTTTTTTATGCTGTTGAGGTCTTCACTAAGTTCCTTGAGCATCCTTATAACCAGTGTTTTTAATGCTGCATCTGATAGATCTTTTATCTCCATTTCATTTAGCTCTTTTTCTGGAGTTTTGATCTGTCCTCTGATTTGGGCCATGTTTCTTTGTCTCCTCATTTTGGCAGCCTCCTTGTGTTTGTTTCTATATATTTCATAGAGATGCTATAACTCTCTGTTTTGGTAGTGTGGCCTAATGTAGTAGCAGTCCAGCCTAGATTCGCAGCTTGGCTTTGCTGGGGAACCTAAACACAGTACAAGTAGCAGCCATCTCAGATTGCTTTATAGCTCAGGCAGGGTGGCCCAGGGCAAACCACAGGTGCCACTGACCTTGCCCTGCACCGCCCAGGAAACCCCAGAGCCAGCACACACAGTGGGCAGCTACAGACCATGTCGGAGCACCACCACTCTATCCCTGAACAGCTGATCCTTTATGGAGGGCAGACGGTGGTGGTCAGTGGTCACATCCAGTCCTTGCAGCTGACTGGCCTGGGTAAATCCCTCCCCTTGATCTACCAACAACAATCAAGGCTCAGCTACAAAAGGAATGTGTACTTGGCCCTAACTAAGGGTCTACCTTGAGGACCCAGCTTGGGTGATAGGGGAGACTGTGCCACTGGAACCTAAAGAGTGTGCAATGAGGTTTTCTGGTGTCTACATGATATGTGATGATGCTGTATAATGCAATGTTTAGAAGACCTGTGAACAGATATTTTTCAAATAACAAATGCATAATGTTATAGAATCACTCTTAGATAAAAGATCCCTTAAGAGTACATGAAGATAAATGGATTTTAGAGTAACTGAGTACCAAGAGTTCATTTATTTGATTTATAAGATTTCAACTTGCATTTAAGAAAATGTCATTCATTGACACTTAGTGTAGTATTAGAGAATAATATCTACAATTATCTATACAAGCTATTAAAATTTGTCCCCCTTTTTCAACTCAAAATTCAAAGGTCATATTTTCTTCATCTGCTTCAACCAAACAAGCATGTGGCAATGGACTGAATACAGAAGCAGATAGGAGAATCCAGTTGCTCTCTGTTAAGCAAGATGATTGAAAAAATTTTAAAAATTGTAAAGTAATGCCAATCTTTTTATGGCATATATTTTGTTTTGGGAAATATATATATTATTCACAAGAATTTGTTATTTATATTAAAGCACAATGAGTTTAATTTTTAAATAAAGTGGTAAAATATACATTTTGTAATTTTTCAGTTTAAATTTCTAATATAATATAGTAAATATAAACAGATATAACCCATATTAACACAAGCTTCTTGGGGTTCTTAGTAATTTTTAAGGATGCCAAGAAGTCTTGAGAATAAAACATTTGAGAGCTGCTGCCTCACATTCTACCTTTTGGCTAAATCTCATTGTCCTGGGTAAGACCAGGGACTCTGTTTTAAAAATTATTCCTTAAATGATTCTGATGCTCAAACTAGCTTGAGAACCATTGACATAGGGTGCCTCTTTGTTGAAGAAAGTTTCACTCTAATGTTGAACTGTAGGAACACTGCCAGGGCTGTTGGGGACTTTAAGGATGATGTTGGCTCTACATCACCAAGCAGCAGAGACAGACTCCCCTGAACTGGAAGGTGAGCCCAAATCCTGATCCATCTTGACCAAGTGAAACTGCTGGGAATCAAGCAGAGAGAATGACCCTTGAGAAGAACAGTTTTCCAGTTCTGAGCATAATGGCTACAACTATGGGCGTGGAGAGTCCTAGTCGGGAGGAATGTGGTTCTCCCAGCATTCCAACGAACCTCAAGGCCAGAAAAGGCAAAGAAGTAGCTTATGGGCCAAATTTGATTATGGGCTGCATCACAGACAGGCATTATTTGTACTTTCCAAAATGTAGGCACTTTCTGGGATCAGATGGAAAAATTCAAAATTTTTAAATTCCAGATTTCTCGTTTATTTTAAACATTCAAGATCTGGCACACATGGGCCTAAACTCTACTGTGGCAACAAACTGTCTGGCACTGCACAGCTGCTGTTGCCAACAGTTGGAGGCTAAGCCCGAGCCCTCTAGTGGTCCCTAGTCATCAGGCCACCTTACTTGTTTATGTTACTTGTCTGGCCTCTGGGCTGGTTGCCACCCTCTTCTAGACTACTCACAGAGACTGGTGGGGTCCTTTCATGGTCTAAGAAGACAGACAGGGACTAGGGATGTATCGGAGGATGCAATGACAATACAGTCTCAGAGTGGCATGCCAGAGTCTCCAATCCAGCATTGGGACTTCAGGTTGGTACAATTTGCCTGAGCACAAGGGCTAGAGGCTAACAGATTGATCTTTCTATTAGTGATTTTAAATTATTGTCCTAGTGATAGCACTGGTTTTAGCTCTAAAAGGCTCAAATTAGCTTTAGGTGATGATTAACTTAGTGGTGGATATCAGAGCTCAGAGTAACAAGTATTTTCCATGTGGTATCTTTTTTGTTGTTGTTAAAGAAGTAGGGAGTGCTTCATGAATTTGTGTGTCATCCTGTGCAAGGGTCATGCTAATCTTCTCTGTATTGTTCCAATTTTACTATATGTGCTGCTCAAGTATCTTTTTGACATCACTTATGTGATCATAAAAAGATCAGTTATAATAAATTCCCTAGTATCCTCCATATGGAAATCTCTTGCTGTGTTGCTGAATGTTCATATTCAGTCTTTGTTTGTCAAGCCAGTTAGGAAAAGCCGCTTCCTCAAGTGTCAGCTGTGGATCCAAAAGCATCCAACAAAGATAAGCAGTTGTCATAGCAAAGACAACAAACCTGCAGGTGATGGATCATGGGACTTGGTTACTGTACTTGCCTTGTGAATCCACACTGTCTTCAACCTTTGCTTAACTCCACAAGTAGCTTTTCAACACCATGACCTGGGTTGTTTCAAAAGCACTTTGCTTCTCACTTTGCAGCTCCTCAAGCCAACGGCATTCAATCATGTTAGGTAGGTCCAGATGCACTAAATAAAATTTCTCAGTAGTGTTTGTTTGTTTAATATTGGCTTTTGTTAAAGATATATTCATGAAGGCCTAGAAAATGAAAAGGATAGTCTAGTAGGATCTGGAATTCTTTGTTTTCTGACCATTAAAATAAACAAGTATTGAGACAAATCTTATGATATAACTTCACTAAAAACATTTTGGTTGCATGAGTTTGAATCCTGATACAAGTTGTGATATCTAGGTCTCATGATTAATTTTTTCACTGACTGATTAGATAACTTTAGATAACTAGATAATTGTTCTCTGACTCCTTTGTCCAAAGAACAAGAATTCTAAATGGAGCTCTAAAATCTAATAAACAAAATGACTAAAAGAAGCTTATAGTTCTAGCTTAAACATATTTCTTAACCATCTTGAGTTTTTAAAATCTGTCATGATTTGACTTAATTTAAGAAAAAAATATTTTCCTGTTGAAAAAATATTTTTCATACCTACAAGTGTTCTTGAACACTTGATTTCAGTGACAGTTAATTCGTCTTAACTGTATCTCATTTACTTAGACTAGTTCTTATTGCTGGAATTAAGGGGAGGAGGAGGAAAGCCTGCTCCCTCTTCAAGTGTAAGAGTTGCTTCAAATTGTACCCCTCAGAAGACTTGATACATGTTTCCTATTTTTGCAGAGAGGGTTGTCTAGAACTCAAGTCTGACCTCCACCCAGGAAAAAGAAAAGTTTAAGAAACGGTCAGGCTGGTGGAAGAGTGAAGAAGAAAGGTTCCTGTTGAGCAGGGATGGGCACACTGTCTCAGCGTTAGGCAAGGCAAGGGACACTTGTGTGTTCCCCATGGACCTGGTATGGGCTTTGCCCAGAAGAGAGAATTGGCTTAGAGATTTCTTAGATACTATCTATGGCAGTTTTAAATGATGTCTGAAAATTCATCAGCACATCCCTCCTTTGGAAGATGGAGCCTAATTCCCATCCTGTTGATTATGGGTTGGTCTTAGCGACTCACTCTTACCAAATAGAATGTGGCAGAAGTGATGTTGCATGTCTTTCAAGGCTAGATGATAAAAGACAATACAGCTGTTGCCTCACTACTGCTCCTGGGACACACACTCTGGCAATCTTTTGCCACCATATAAAAATCCAGTTACCCTGAGGAAATGATGTGGAAACACAGCATGGAGAGGAAGGGCAGAGAGGGGGAGAGAGAGAGAGAGAGAGAGAGAGAGAGAGAGAGAAAGGGACTCAAGGAACCACCGGTCAGGCGTCACATGTGTAAATGAGAAAGGCTTCAAGATGACGAAGCCCCAGCTACCATTTTATTATTGCTGTTGCAAGCTGTTTGTGTACATTGAGTCACACAGTGATAAATAGTAGTAGGAACACTGTCCAAGAAGACTGCTTAAAGGCATGAAGGGCCATTATTGCAAAAGAACCTGGGGTTGGACCCCCAGATCCCTAGGCATTACAGGAGTAAGCAACTGGCTCTCAGGTCACAGTAACTAAAGATTGAGAGGTAATTGCAAAATTGGAGGTTTTTGAAGAATTTAAAACAAAGTGAAGCTTTAAACTTTTTACAGGCTCAATGAAAATTTGGCTTATAATGGCCCTATCCAGGGACAACTGTCCTGTTCCCTCTTAAGTCAGGACAAACAGTGCTGACAAAACATTGAATAATTTTGACATGAAGAAGTCATTTTTAAGCATGATGCACAAAACCAGAAAACCACTAAGGAAAAGACTGACAGATTTGAGTAAATAAAAATGTAAAACTTTTGAACAGCAAAATGCATTATTTTTGAAAATTTAAAAGATAAGGAACAAACAGGAAAACTATTCGTAGACTATAACAAAGCATTAATTGTACATATTATAGAATTTCAACAAATCAGTTAGAAGAAAATCAGTAATATAAACCATAAGTTAAAGACAGGAGAAGACTATTGATGGAATAAAGAGAATTAGTAAAGAAATATATGAAAATATAATCAAACTCACCAATCATTGCAGAAATAAATTTAAATTTATTTAATTAAATTTATTGTACTTAGCAACTGCATTAGTTTCCTAGCGTTGCTGTAACAAAGTACCACAAAGTGCATGGCTTGAAGAACAGAAATGTATTGTCTCACAGTCCTGGAGGCTGGAGTCTGAGATCAAGGTGTCGGCAGGGTAGGTCCCCTCTAAAGGCTGCGAGGCAGAATCTGTCCCATGTCTCTCTTCTAGCTTTTGGTGGTTTGCTGGCAATCTTTGGGGTTCCTTGGTTTAGAGGTGCATCACCCTGATCTCTGCCTTCGTCTTCACACGGTGTTCTCATAGTGTGCATGTCTGTCTGTGTCCAAATTTGCCCTTTTTATAAGGACATCATTCTTATTGGCTTAGAGCCCACCCTAATGACTTCTTTTTAATCTGATTACCTCTTTTAAGACCTTATTTCCAAATAAGATCATATTGAGGCACTGGGGATTGGGACTTCAACATACCTTTTCTAGGGAACCTAAGTCAATCATATCAGCCTTCACTTAGAAAAGCAATAGTATTGCATATTGGAAACTGTACAGATCCAGCATCCCTGTACCAGCTGATGGAGTGTAATTAAGTAAACATTTTGAAGCATAACTTACTAATATCTTTCAGAATGATATATTCTAGCAGCTGCCATGGTGAAGTAACCTCTTGAGCTAAAGCCGGCCCTGTTTCAGAATGACATATTCTAAATGTGCATATCTTCTTTCCAGTAATTTCACTTTTATGAATATAACAAAATCTAAAATAAGCAAAGTCAACATGAACAATAGAATTTTTGAAAGTAAGATGTCCAGGGAAATGCGAGGATGATGTATTAGGTATTGCTACTGTTTTAGTGTTAGTGGGTATTATGGTCAAGTGGATTTCAATGTCACATCTCAAAGCTGTTCTTTAACAATGAATCAAGATAGGCTTGATTTATGATCCTCTGCATAGCTCATTTGGGAAGGGAGGTGATAGATATTTCATTTTTCTCTTACTCTTTCCTCTCATGCAAACTTCTGAGCAATATCTGACTAAGGCTGCCAGATTTAGCAAAAAAAACAAAAACAGCAACAACAAAAAAGAAAACAAAAAAATGCAGGACACCCAATTAAATTTGAATTTCAGATAAAGAACAAACTTTTTAATTTCAGTAGAAGTACATCTCATGCAATATTTGAGACTCACTTATACTAAGCATATTATTTGTTGTTTGTCTTAAATTCAAGTTTGTCTGGACATCCTGTATTTTACCTGGCAACCTGATTGATACCTGACCCCAAACTGCACAAAGCAGGTGGGCTTGGCCCTTTGGAAGGTAGGATGCTATGGTGTGATTTCACTGTACATACCTCATTCAGGCATATTCTCAACTGTGTTTTGCAGGAACTTTTTTATAAAAGCAAGAACAACAACAGAGAACAAAACATGTGACAGCTGCAGCAAAAGATGTAACAGGAGCTGGTCTCGTGTAAATATTATGTTAATTAAAGCAGAAGGGTCTGGAGCATAAACAAAATAACTGCCGGGGGCTGGTTTCTGTCCTGGCTGGGCTTCTTAATATAGTAACTCCGTTCCCATCCTGTTAGCACTCTTTTCTTATCAAACATTGAACTGGGGTATAAGGAAGTTTAAATTACCAGTGATTGGAGATCCGTTTTCTAAACACTTGAAACAGATGGTTCGTTGCCTGAAAAGCACGCTTCTTTTCAGGGAATGCAGTGTCGAGCTTTGTTATTTCAGGAAAATGTTTTGCTGGAGCTGGTGTATTGACCTCAGGTTTGCCACACTGATCAACAGCTTCCTCTGATGGCTGTTGCATCTGTTTCTTCCGTTGAGTTCTCCTGCTCTGCTAAGGTCTTATTTTTAACGCTGCCCGCTTGTTGCTTAGACATGGTAGTAGGCAAAGCCCAGTTACTCCTCCCACACAATTTCTCAGAGCTTTAGAAAAATAGCAGTAATCATGCAGAAGATTTTTAAAAATGAATATCACTTGAGAGTATACAATTGATGGAGTTGGACACTACCAGCTGAGCAGCGGTGAACTTAACAAAAAGAAAAAGTCCTTTCTGCCCTTTTTTGAGGGGATCTGGGATCCAATCCAGGATCACAGGCTGCATTTAGTGGTCATGTCCCTTTCATCTTTTTAAATCTATTACAGTTCCTCAATCTTCCTTTGCCTTCCACTGACATTTTTAAAGGGTACAGTCTTGTTATTTTGCAGAATGTTCTTCAAATGGGTTTATTTGATATTTTCTGATGACTGGTCAGGTCACATGATGCATTTTAAGTAGAAATAGTAATAAGGCATAGAACTGGATTTTCTAACATCATTCCCATATTGTGCAAAAATGTCGGCCCTTTTTCCTATGAGTGAAAATTTTCTGCTGAAGCCAATTTGACAGTGTTGTTTCGTGCCTTCCACCAAAGAACCTCACTTTGAATTGAGTGGCCTAAATTTTTGATAAGATTCTTAGAACCACATTTAAGAGTAAAACTGGTCGGTGGTGTCCATGTATTTCTGGACTTTCTTCTCAGGACAAGATGAGCACTTTGGATCTGTGCTAATGGTCTAAGGAAGGTTAAGAGAGGGCAGGAACTGGTT